AAACAGAAGAGAAGAGAGATGGAAAACTGTACATAGGAAAATAGAGGGAGGATAAAAGACAGCTGGTGTTCATGAAAATTGGTTGGTGATTGCTGTGCCTTGCTAGACACCTGGGTTATGGACCACCTTAAGTGTTTGTCAAATGCATAAGATTGTTTGGTCTGTCTAGATTTTATGATTCATCATGGATCTCCCGTGGAGGATTTATGGGAAGGCATGAATGAGGCAGGGATGAGGACATGCAGAGGGATTGCGTTCTACACTCGTGGAAGAATTACCCACACGGATGAGATCACAGCCCCAGAATCTTCTTTTGACTAAGTGCCGGTGGAATTTTCCATTTTTTTCCCCAAACAGCAGATCTAAGTTTCATTTTAATAACAACCAGTAGAGAGGCAGCAAAGAGTATTGGAAGATTGCTGGATTTGAAGTCAGATGACTTGGGTCTGAATCCTGACCCTGGGAGGGTCTGTCTAAGCTTGGGGAAAGCCCCTTCACCTTGTTAGGTCTCATTCTTATCTGCAAGACTAGAGGGTTGGTCTACTCTAACTGATCTCTAAGGTAGTCCCTTTCTAAATCATACAACTAGTAGTCAGGAGATTTTGGTTCTAGTAACCAGTCTGCCTCTGCTGTGACCTACTAACTTTTGCCCATTTTGACCTGTTTTGTAAAATGAGGGGATTTGGCTTCATAATGGAGAGGGCACTGTACTCGGAGCCTGGAAAAACAGTCCCTCAAATTCCACTTCAGACATTTACTAGCTCTATGATGCTGAGAATTTTGTTCAATCTCTCTGTGCCTCAATTTCCTCATCTGCAAAATGGGGAGAGCTTGCAGCCAATGGCCTCTAAGCTCTAAATCTATGCTACTGTGATCAAGGATTACTATTGATACGCTACGTACTCAGTGTTTTCTCCAGGCCCTTCAAGCTCTATCCTTTGTGCATCTGTCATTTGAGAAGGAATGGAAAGAGACCTCCCCCCATCATTCTGTAATCCAGGTAGTGAGCACAGGGCCTCAGACTGGTGGAAGAAAATGCACAAAACAAATGTCATGTATAAAATAGTTTATTACTATAATAAATAAAATTAAACTTCTTTACAAATCTTATTTGTGCTTGTTTAAAAATGTCCGAGAAGGGAATATTCTTCATGGAGGTGCCTGCATTTTCCTCTGAACATTCCCAGACTGGAGCTATACAATACAGGAGAGCTCTTGGCAGCATCTTTGGCTGACCATAAAAATAGTATCTGCTCATCTGCACGACTTTTTATTCATGCTCATTTGAACAAAGTGACAAATGCAGAGGGGGAGGGAAGGGGACCTGGGAACTTTGCGGAGGAAGGAATAAAAAGAAGTGTGATATATGGAGAAGCCCCAGGAAAAGGAGCTGCACCCGTGCCAAAGGGTCCATGCAGCCTCAGAGAAAAATCAAACACGGACATTTTTCGACAGATGTACAAATATTGACCAAGGGTCAGAATGATTAGGTAATACATTCATGAGGAATTGGCATCTTTCTTAATCTAGGCAGTTCAATGACAGACAAGGTTCCTGACCTTCTTGTTAGATAATTAGATGCATTTGATGACTCAGAGGTCACTGAGGGAAGGGGAAAAAAAAAACCCTACCCACTCTAAGAAAAAAGTTTTGTGAGAGGAGTAGAAACCCAGCAGATCCATTTCCAGAGATGTAACTGGAGTGACACATCCCAAGAGACTCACATGATACCAGTTCCACTGGAAACAAATTGGACTATGGGAAAGGTCTTAGTTCTAGTGAACTCATGTGGGCTCTCTAGGGTCTGTGTCAATTCCAGCATCCGATGCCTACTTGCGTTAGTTGCTGTGAGCCCTACCCTAACCTGGACCTTCCTCTCCTAAGTGAAGCAATGTGGCACAGAAGAAAAAACACTTGACCTTGGAGTCAGGGGACCTGGATTTCAAATCCCTCCTTCCTTCTCTCCCTCCCTCCCAAAATCCGGCCTTCATGATCTCTATATCTCAGTTTCTTTCCGTGTAAAATAAGGGATTAGGACTAGATGGTCTCTGGAACCCCTCCCAGTTCAACATCCCTTATACTGTAGCACCTGGCTTTGAATTCTGTCTCTGACACTATTTATACAAAGCCTTGGGTAGGTCACACAGCCTTCTTGGGCCTCATATTCCTCAGTTGTAAAATGAGATGGGTTTAATTAGATGACCTCCAAAGCCCCTTCTGCCTCTTGCTCTATGAACTCTATGATCATCTTTGGATTGAAAAAAAAAAAGCAAAGAACCTCTTCCCAACATCTATAATAAAAGGTTGGCTCAATTCTCTGATGGTGTTCGTTGTTGCTAAGAGGACTGTCTCCTCATCTGAGAGAGAGATGAGGCCAGTGAAGGTCATTTTTATTGAAGTGAACTAGAAGGCAGTAAGTGGAACAATAGAATGAATTACCTACTTGAGAGGACTTCCTTTGTTCTCCCAGAAGTCATTAGTGGGGTCTCCTCTTTGGGCACTACCAAGTACTACAGAAAAAGGAGTTGGCAGTTCTATTAAAGTTAAAATTTAATTCAAGGGTCTTAAGGCTAAATGTCCTAACTGACAAAGGGTGAATGTAACACCAGTGCCTTCCATCTGAGCTCCTAGCATTAAAAGGGGGAATTGGAACATGGACTTGACTTGAACATGTCTTCTCCCAGTCTTAGGTTACAACTGAGACCAAGAATTCAGTAATTTGGCTTAGCTCCTTCCCCTTTGACCCACGGATGGAAAACTAATGTTCCTCTTATTAATGCCTCACTTCCACCTCTACTCCCAAAGCATGTCTGGGAGAATATAATAATACCTGAGAAAGGCTTCATGTTTGCCCATCAGACATGATAGGGAAATCAAGAAACCAAAAAATAGTAGGAACAAGAAGAGATCGTGGAAGAGATCGAAACAAGAGAAAATATTTCCAACAGTTTGATATGCTCATATACAGAGAAGCTTTACAGATGCTTGTATTGATCACAGTTGTTTAAATATTGTTGCCTACTCCTAGTTTCATCTTAATAGGCATGAAACCCTTAAAATCAAAGAATCTGAGCACTTTCAGGAGGTCCCCAGGGCACTCCAAATGCCATTCCAGACCAGGATTTTGGAAGCTTCCCAGGACACTCTTTCCCATGGACACCTCTCCACAGGAAATAGAAGTGTCATTTCTGGATGTCCCAGATAATAGGGAAAAGATAACTGATTGTGGAGTCAAAGGACCTGGGTTTAAATTCTACCTGTAACATTTAGTTGTTCCATGAACTAACACCAAGTCTGGAGCTTGAGCAAGTTAAAAAAGGTTTGATATATACAGCAAAGGACTGAAGGAATGAAGACTCCCACAAGATTCCCCCACCTCCACCCCCCACGATTATCCGAGCCCTTAACTCTGGCCTGCAAGACCTCACTGTGAATGGCTTTCAAAGAAAAGTCTGTGTTTCATTGTAGCAAAAAGGTAACAGCTCTCCAAAAAGCAGAGTATGTCAACTCTTGAATGCCTATGGGAAAATCTTTTAGTTTGTCTGTGTTTGTTTTGTTTGTGCAGCCTCGAGGCTATATGTGGCCCTCTAGGTCCTCAAGTGTGGCCCTTTGACTGAATTCCAATTGGATTCCCCATCCCTGCATCTAATCTTTTAACAGCTCATTGCCAATGGGATCACATATTCACCTTGGCCACCACACGTGTAGCTGATAATACAGATCGCTGTTATTGAAAGCACTTAGACATTATTCACCCAGAAGGGAGTGACAGAGGACTGATTGGAGCAAAAAGCAGACTGAAGGCAAAAACGTGTACAAAACAAATTTTTTTAAGTTTAAAAAAAGGGGGAAAGATGTTTTTCAATATTTCTTTCAGGGGAAAAAAGAAGGTGGAATTCTCTTTAAATCACCAATGAAGACAAATGAAAAACAGAAGATACACATGCTTATACTCAGAAGTAAGGGCTCACCCACAAAACAACACAGACCATAAGCCATGTCATCCTGAGATGGATGATGTCCTGCCTAGAAGTCTTCCAGATGTTCCTTTGCTCCCACTCATAAAATACAATGTCAATATCCAGGCTCTGAGATATTGAGAGCTAGATGGAGAAGCTGGCTCCTCTAGGCTGGTCTCAACAAATTTTCTTCCTTGTCTTCCCCAAGACAAAACCCAGCAAACCAGGCAGAATTCTCTGCAATAGTGTGGGAGTTCTCCCTTGCCTTTACAGCATGGCGCAGTAGAAGAGACCCTGGATTTGATGCAAAAAGTGGAGACTGGACAACTGGATGACCTTGGAAGTGCTGGCCAGTTCTAAATCTATCATCTTACAAACTTCAGACTGTGTAGGTTTTTATGGTTGAAGAGACCTAGGAGCCACGTTTAGGAGATTATAAGGGAAAGAGCACATCTGTAAATTCTTAAACAGTTCTCTGGGGGTTTCTGGCCTAGGAACATCCCAAAAGGATGATCCTAAAAGAGGATTATCCCACAAGGTCAAGAGCTAGTGTCTGAGCCAAGAAAGGTCAAGCCTATATTGACCCTGAATTGCGTGTTAACAAATTTGTCCATGCCATGAAGTAAGATCACATGATCATAAATTTAGAGCTTAAAGAGATCTTGGAACAGAGGTGCTTGATCCTTTTTTCTGTCAGGAACCCCATTAGCAGTCTATAGGTGTCTATGGGTGAAGCCTGTAGAGCCTTTCTCACAGTGCTATTTTAAATAATTAAATGAAATTCTAAATTTCAGTTAGAGAATAAAGATTTTTTTTTCCTATTCAAGTTTATAGACCCTCCCCTGAAATTTATCCACAGACCTTTGGGCAAGGGTGGTCCATGGAATCCAAGTCAAAAACCTTTGTCCTAGAATCAATCTAGTTCAACCCTCTCATTTTATGGATGAGGAAACTGACATCTGGAGTGATGGATTGACTTGCCCAAGGTCACCCAGCTAGAAAGGCAGGATTCAAAATCAGGTCTTCTGACTCCCAATCTGGTACACTTTCCAATATATCATGCTGCCTCTCAGGTGAAGGAACTAAAAGAGGAAGAAGGGGGAAGAATAATTCTATTGGCCGGCACATTGCTAGACCTGCTGGCTCAACACTGCTTCTGGCCTGATCTTTGGAGTGTGTTAAAAAGAAGGAAGAAATATCGAGCTGGCAGTTGGCAAGCATTGTCTCTAGAATCAGACACTTCCTGGAAGTAGACGTAGCAGTTTCCTTCCTCATGCAACATGACTTGCTTAAGAAAAGGTGGGACATGATGTTTCAGAGACAGTTTACAGCATTTCCCCTCATTATTTCTAAGAGAAAAAAAAAAGACCAAAGCATGTAGAGATTTCTGTAACATGGGAGATGTAGATATTGGTGTGCTCTGCTCACTTTCCTCTACAGCACGGTGCACTGGAATGAATGGAGAATTAGAATGGAGGCCGGATTGTTTCATTTTTGCCTTTTTATCCTTAGTGTTGAGCATAGTTTCTGGCACTTAAAAGGTGCTTAATAAATGCTTGTTGATAGACTGCTTAAGCACCAGGGAGACAAAAAAAAACCCAAATCTGTCAAGTTAGTAGGAGGATGGTATGGGAAGTAGGAGGACATAACTTTCTCCAAAGCTTTAATCAAATTTACAAAGCACTGGCATCTGTCCTCACAGAAATGAAATGATACTCCTCATCAGACGGGATTTTGTCCATGACTTAAGTAACACCATGGAGTCAACTTTAGAGCGAGTTATTGCATCATCCTCAAATGAAAGCTTTTCATGCGTTGACATCATCAGGGGAATGATTACAACCTTGGACTCTGAGGCCTAGTTTCTTAGGGGAATGGGAGAGAGAGCCTGACAGTGATGGCTCATGGGAGCAACTGGAAGGCCAAGGCCACCCAACTGCCCATTTGTGCTTCCTGTGGATGCAGAGTAAAGATAGGGAGAGTAGGACCTGGTAGCAAGTTTTCAGAAGCACTGTGTGCTTTAGCACATCAGCTCACCATAGCCTCAGAGTCCTAAGGACGATTGATTTCACGATGTTAATTAGCATAAGCAAAAGGTAGCGGCTCTGCGGTCACGTTCCCTACTACAGAGTCCGTGCAAGAAGATGCTTTTCATTAAAACTTGGAGCAGGAATTCTCAAGTGACACTGACAGGCTTGGAATGCTTAAGATGCAGCTGCATTTCTAATCCTGGGCTTTCTAATGCTAAGCTCTCAGCACTGAACTCTAACATCTAGTCTCTTTTTGGGTCCCTGCTGCCTTTGCGTAGGGCACACTTCAAGCCAACTTTACCTTGCGTCAGAGGTTTGCATATTCCAGAATCATCTGTGGGTCCAACAGACTGATACTTCCCTCTCCCTTCTTTACCCTTCATCCCAAAATATTGCTGGAGGAAACCAATATTTAGGGAAGTAACTCCGGTTGCATTGGAAAGCCCCCAAGCATCATGGGATAAGGATCACAACTGTTGGCTGGGGTAGGGCCTTCCTGCATTGATCATTAATATATGGGCCTGGATATGGGGCCCTGTTTGGACCATAGGCTGAGCCAGATCTCAAACACTCTTGTTCCTGAAATGCTGGTTCCTTTTATCTTTTCCAGCTGAAAGTGAAAACATAATCCTTGAACCCCCTTCCCCTCTTTGCTTTCTGATACTATTTCTAATGTTGAGAGTATATGACACAAAAGGTTTGGCTTTTCCAAAATGTGTCCCACAATGACCTCCAGTTCTGAACTCAGTCCATTTGGGGAGCCCGGGGAAGGCATCCCCCTTTCTATCTTCAAATGGCGGTCATTCAGCTTTTGTTTGAATTCCTTCAGTGTTGAGGAACTCATTACTTAATGTGGTACTCCATTCCATTTTTGAACAGCTCTTACAAGTCAACCTAAGGATTTCTGTTTATGAGATAGCAACTGGGGGACTTGTAAGTGTCCCACAATGATTTCTGGCTGAGAACAAAGGTAAAGCAAAGGCCAATTCTATTGAGAATTATAACAAAAACATAACATACATGCCACAAAATATTATCATTCTTAAAAAAGTCAAATCTGGGTTCCTGATGCTTTTTTCATCTCCAATATACCCCAAGGAATGTTACACAGGCATTCCCTTTCTGTTGGGTTGTATATATGTATATATATATATATTGTCCAAAAGGTAAAGAACTGCACCTGGAGATAGGAGTCAATCAGGAGCCTGGAATCACTTAGAGGTACTCAGTGTCCATGTGAGATCTCCAGAAAAAAAAATGGCCTGCTAATGATCCTGGGTAAGGAGACTCTATCTCTCTCCCTCCAGATAACTGGCTCAGCTCTTAACTCTTTTGGAATGAGAGATCAGGGTTCTATGCAGACATTCAGCAGCCTTGGGGACACATAAAAATCTAAGTCACTGGTTGCAGACCAAGAGAGAGGGCTAGGGCCTGCATATATCCTGGAGTCACCCACTGGGTTTCATGCCCTCTGGCAAATCCCCAGGGCTTCATGATTCTAACCTTTGGTGGGAGGCACAACACCTGCATCTGTCTTTTGGTCCTGATTGTGACAGATGAGAGGATAAAAGGAGTTCTGCCCTCCCATCTGTTCCGTCCTTTCCCCCATGCTTGTTACAAATGATTCTTACGATATGAAAATATACTATGACACTGGATACTGGCTGTACAAATGTACAGGAAGGCAGCCCAGCAGGAGGGTGCTAGTGATTCTCACACCCTCCAGAGTCTTTAGGGACTTGGCAAAGGAGCTGAAGGTCACATGGTTGTGAACACATTCCCAGCCCACCCGCCTCAATCCTCAAAAGGCTGATGGGTTCTTTTTTTTTTCCTCTATATTTCTTTTTTACAAATATTATGGAAGTTAAAAAAAAATGTCCGAACTGAGGAGATAAGGAAAATACTCTTTGAACAGTGTATCCCCTCTTCCAAATTTGTGCTAAGACACTTCCAGCACAAGTGCCATCTTGCAGGGTGGTGGCAAATTCCTCTTTGTCCAGAGAGTGGGGAGCATGCTGGATCGACTGGTCCCTCACTGATTTTCCATCAATGAGAAAATCTTATTTTGAGAAGAAAATGTTAGCTCTATGCATGTGTTTCTGGAAGAGGGTTTGCAATGTTTATTCTTTTATTTTCATTTTTAAATAAATGGGCCTCTCAGCTTGCTCCAAAAATGTCTCTCTCTGATTCTGGGGACTGGGGCCTCGATATTTCAAACAGCTCCTGGGGGGACTGAGAAGATCTTCTGGAAGTCAATATCCTTAGTATCTCAGAGAGCTGTTTTTCAATGTTTGCCATTTTGTTGTTCAAGGCCTTAATGTCCTCTTTTAGCTCATGCTTCACCTCCAACATGGTGGCCTGAAGAGTCTGCTCAGGGATGGGGTAGAAGGAATGCTTGACCTCTGCAAGGATAGGGCTGCGGTCCTGAGGACTCCTGGTCTCACCAACATTGTCCAAGCGCAAGTCACTTTTGGTGATGCCACTATCACAAGAGTCTGTCTTCTTCAGTGTGGCCTCCCCAGGTGTCTTTGTCCTCTCGGGGAGAGTCTCCATCGACTCGGCCTTAGAGACTTTGTTCCAGTCCTCCCCCTTTCCACAGGCATCTTTGAAACGAGCCCAACCTTTGCGTCGGGGACAGTCCCCCCCACCCCCCTTGGGGCCCAGGCCCTCAGACACAGGGGCATGTAGCTTGGCATGGTCTGACACCCCTGAGGTAGACGCTGACTGGAAAGAGACAGGGGTGGCCGGGCTTTCCCGGACAGTAACGATACTGGCCTTTACCACTGTGTGGTTGGCAGAGGAATGCTCTGAAAGAATATTGCCCTTCTCCACATCCAGGTCATCCAGATCCCGGCCTCCCCTCTCTGCTGCCAGTCTGGCTTCCTTCTGCTGCCGGAATCTTTGGAAGAGCCTCCGGACAGGATGGTCTGGGGGCAGGATCAGGGGGGCCTCATTCTTCCGTTTCATTCTCTCTTCTTCTTCCCTCTTCACATCGCTGATCTTCCGAAACACAATCTGCAACGAGTAAAAATGACATGGGAGGGGTTTAAGATGGATGATGGTGGCAGCCCATGTCTACCCTCCCCATCATCACAGGGAATCTTTAGCCCACCCAAATGTTTTTAAGAGAATCATAGAATGTTAGAGCTGGAAGAAAATTTGAAAGTTAGCTAGTCTAGACTAATTATAGATGAGAAAACTCACGATGATGTGCCTATAATCATCTGGCTAATAATAATCTTAAAAATCAGTTCACATTTATATAGTGCTTTTAATTCATTATCTACTTTGACTCACAATAACCTTGGGAGGAAGGTGCTATTATTATCTCCATTTTTACAGGTAAAGAAATAGAGGTTTAGAGAGGTTAAGTAACTAGCCCAGAGGTGGGCAATCTGTGGTCTCAAGGCCACATGTGAACTAGCTGAACTAGCCGATTGCCACCTAACTAGTATTACAAGTGGAATTTGAACCCAGATCCTCTTGACTCAAGTCCAGGGTTCTTTCCACTATTTGTTTAGTCATTTTTCAGTCATGTCCTAGTCTTCATGAACCCATTTGGGGCTTTCTTGGCAAAGATAATGGAGTGATTTGCCATTTCCTTCTCCAGCTCATTTTACAGATGAGGAAACTGAGGCAAACAGAGTGAAGTGACTTGCCCAGGGTCATGCAGCTAGTAAATGTCTGAGGCTGGATTTGAACTGAGGAGGAGGAGTCTTTCTGACTCCAGGCCTGGTGCTTTATCCATTGCACCACCTAGCCCCCCACTGTACCATGTGGCTAAATGAATTTATGGTTGCCAAATAGCTAAGTGAGAAATCAAAGACTAGAAGCATTCATTGTGTGCCTTCTTATTCAAGACACTGAAGGACTCACAGATAGGTGTCCCTCCCCACCTATGTCCGTTATAGATTGAAATTCTTAGATATCAGGAAGCAGGTAGGAGAAATTCTCCTCTGGATATCACCTATTTGCAGGACACAGAACCCTAAAATTCTAGAATGAGAAGTCCTCCTAGTAATGCCTTCTCTCCTCTTTTCCACCGATCCAGATATTAATCATCTTTGCAACTGGTCCCCATTCTACTTCTTTCATGAAAATTTCCCAGCTTGTTCAAGCCAATGGTGATCTTGCCTTCCTCTCATAGCACAGACTTCTTCTGCCATCATTTTGGCAATTAGATTCAGCCTCGTGAAGTCTCTGAGATAAGCTGGTTGTGTAGTGGATAGAGAGATGCACCTAGAATCAGGAAGACTTGAGTTCAGTTCTGGTCTTAGACACTTACCAGATGGATGATCCTGGACAGATCATTTACCCACCCTCACCTTCAGTTTCCTCATCTATAAAATGGGGATAATAATAGCACCTACCTCTTAGGTTGTTGTGAGAAGAAAAGAAGTTAGTATTTACAAAGTGCTTAGCAAATCTTAAAGCACTAAATAAATATTAGTTATCATCATCATCTCTGGCACTATTTTATATTGTTTAACTTTTCATATGTGAAGCAGAATGAGGAAATGTGAAAGCCTATCACTGAAACATCCATTGAATAATAATGATGATGATGATGATGATGATGATGATGATGATGATGAAGTAGCATTTAGATTATACATGTATAACCTATATCAGATTACTTGCTGTCTTGGGGTAGGGGGAGAGGAGACAGAGGGAGGGGGAAAACTTTGGAACTCAAAATTTTACAAAAATGAATGTTGAAAACTATCTTTACATGTAATTAGAAAGAAAATAAAATACTATTAAGGAAAAAATAAAGTAGCATTTAGATGATGCTTTAAAGTCTGCAAAATGCTTTACATGTGCAATCTCATTTGAGCCTCATAACAATTCTATGGGGTAGGTACTATTATTATCACCATTTTACAGATGGGTAAATTGAGGCTGAAGTTGGTAAAGTGACTTGCCCAGCATCACATTGCTAGGCAGGATTCAAACTCAGGTCTTCTTGACCCCAACTCCAGCACTGTATCCATTGCATCATCTAGCTACCTCTAGGGATCTAGGAGTATTTAATCAGGAAAAGAGAGGACTTGGGAGGTGAGGAGGTGAAGCATAATAGCTATCTTTGAGTATTTGCAAGACTGTCATGTGTAAGCAAGATTCAGAGTGTTCTCTTTAGCCCCAGAGGACAGAACAAGAAGTAGTGACTGAATATCTCTCTGCTGCTCCTAGTTTTTTCCTCTGAGGCCTAATTGGAAAGGTTCATTGAGGCTTCCTAACATTTCAAGTGGTAGGCTATGTGAAAGAAGAGTTTCTTGTTTAGGTATGAGCTGGACTAGGTGGACTCTGAGGTAGGTCATTCTGTGAAATTATCCAATTAGAGGGCAGCTAGGTGGCACAGTGGATAGAACACCAGCCCTGGAGTCAGGAGGACCTGAGTTCAAATCTGGCCTCAGACACATAACACTCACTAGCTGTGTGACCCTGGGCAAGTCACTTAACCCTATTACCTAACAAAAACAAAGAAACAAACAATCATCCAATTAGAACCAGGTTCAGGAGCCTGGTAAAAGATTTTCTGCTATACCATCTCTGACAAGTGGCCATCATGCCCCTACTTGAATACCTGCAGAATTGTGGGCTCATTACCTTATAAGGCAGCCCATTCCATTTTTGGACAGCTTGAAGTATTACAAAGAGTAATAATGACTCATATTTAATTTTAAAGTTTGTAAAATATTTTTCTCATAAAAACCTCTAAGATAGTATCATCCCCATTTTAAAGAGATTACGATTTACCCAGGTTCACAGACCTGGTAAGCGATAGAGCCTAGCAGGCAAGTTCAGGATGTGTTCCTTGTTTAAATACCCTATTGAACCAAGCACATGCCCCAAGTAAGTCAAACATAGAAAGAAAGTCCCCATTTATGCCAAAATATTCATAGTAGCAATTTGAGGGTAACAAAAAACCTAGAAACAACGTGGGTTTGGGGGAATTGCTTAGTAAACAACAATATTACTGCACTAAATGAAATAATGAATGAAAAGCATTGAAAAACATGGAAAGAATGAATTTGGGCAGAATGAAGTAAACTAAGATGATTTAAATAAATGTAAATCAGTAAGAGTCTCAGCCTTTTTGGTCTTGGGACACTTTTACTTTTTTTTTTTTTAGGCAATTGGTGTTAAATGACTTGTCCAGGGTCACACAGCTAGTAAGTGTTAAGTGTTTGGTCTGAGTCCAGATTTGAACTCAGGGCCTCCTGACTTCAGGGCTAGTGCTCTATCCACTGCACCACCTAGCTGCCTTAATACTTTTACACTCTTAAAAATTAATGAGAACTACACACCAAAAAAAATAAATTTAAAGTAAATAGAACAAAATTATAATGATCAATTGAATGAAGAAATGAGAGGACACTCCCAACACACCCTTTTGTGGAGATGGGAGGTCCACAGTTGTTAGTAAACATTACACCTTTTTTTTGGACTTTTCCAATATATTGATCAATTGGGTTGATTTGTTTTTCCCTCTCTAAAAAAATACTATTTGTATATGGGATGGCTCTCTGGGAGGGGAAAGGAGAGGGATACTTGGGATAACTATGCTGATGTAAGAAACAGAAGATATCGAAAAAAACCTTTAAAAAAATGAGAACTCCAAAGAATTTTTGTTTATGTTAATTATATCTATTAACATTTATCATATTAGAAATTAAAATGGATAATTTCATCCATTAAAATTAAATTTTAATTTATCTAAAATAATGCATCAGTTACTTGTTAACATAAATAATACATTTTTATGAAAAATAACTATCTTTTACAGAATAAAAATGTTAGTGAGAAGAGTGGCATTATTTTACACATTTTGCAAATCTCTTTAATGTCTAGCTTAATAGAAGATATCTGGATACTCACTTTTGCTTCTGCATTCAATCTGTTGCAATATAAAGTTCTGTTTGAAGTATATGAAGAAAATCTGGCCTCACCCAGACATGTAGTTGGAAAAGGGAGGAACATTTTAATAAGGTATGTAAAGTCTTAGTATTATTGTAAAAATGGTTTTGACCTCTAGGACCTCCAGAAAGAGTCTCAGGGAGCCCCAGGGGTCCTCAGACCACGCTCAAGAAGTGATGATAGAAATGAACAAAACTCTAAAAGAAAACCAGACGCCGAGTAATTATGATGACCAATCTTAGTCTGAGAGAATCGATGATGAAATACACCTCCTTCCTCTAGGTTAAGATGTGTGAGAGGGAGATTGCTGGCATACTCTGCCAGAAATGGTTATAGCATCAGTTGGTTTTACTTAACTGTTTTTCTTTGTCACAAGAGAGGACTTATTTGGTGTAGAGTATATCCAGAAAGGACTATGATATATAGAACAAAAGACCTCAACAAAAATTACAAAAATTATATTTTAAAAAAATATTCTTTCCAAGTGCTGTGTTCAGTGATTCAGTCAGCGGACTGGTCTAGTGCATTTGAAATGTCCGTGGGTGCCCAGCCCTGGCCAAAGAGTTGGGTAGCCTAAGCAAGGACTCACCAGCCTAGAGTAATGAGGACTGACCAGCCAGTGGAATCAACATGGCCCCACTTTTGAATACCAAAATATGCAGCCCATAGTCTTAAGAGACACCATCATGGAGTAGTAGATGGAGAGCCTACTTTAAGCCCAATAAAACCTGGGTTCAAGTTCCATGTCTTTTTCTTTTCTTTTCTTTTTAAAATTTATTTATTTATTTTTAGTTTTCAACATTCATTTCCATAAGATTTTGAGTTCCAAATTTTCTCCCCATCAAGTCCCATTTCTAATACATACTGGCTTCTATGATCCTATGTAAGTCATTCAATGTTAGAGGGTTCCAGGAAGCTCTCTATTTTATCAAATCAATTGTAGAGAAAGTGTCAATCTAAATTGGTGGAGGAATCACACTATGACAATGAAATCACAGGTCTGGTCTACATGCCTAGCAGTCATTAGGAGCTCTTGCCAATTTGACTTCATTAATCCTGTGAGGTCTTGGAGTTTACTTGCAAATTTTAAAAGA